GAAGAGGTAGAGGGCATGCAGAGCACCATTCTAGTTCTTCAGCAGCAGTTGAAGGAGACACGACAGCAGTTGGCGCAGTACCAGCAGCAGCAGTCTCAAGCGTCAGCCCCAAGTACCAGCAGGACTACATCTTCTGAACCTGTAGATCAGGCCGAGGCCACAAGCAAGGACTGCAGTCGTCTGGCAAATGGACCAAGTAATGGCAGCTCCTCCCGCCAGCGGACGTCTGGGTCTGGATTTCACAGGGAGGGGAACACAACTGAGGATGACTTTCCTTCTTCTTCAGGGAATGGTAATAAGGCCTCCAACAGCTCAGAGGAGAGAACTGGCAGAGGAGGTAGTAGTTACATAAACCCACTCAGTGCGGGCTATGAAAGTGTAGACTCTCCCACGGGCAGTGAAAACTCTCTCACACATCACTCAAATGACACAGACTCCAGTCATGACCCTCAAGAGGAGAAAGCAGTGAGTGGGAAAGGTAATCGAACTGTGGGTTCCCGCCACATTCAGAATGGCTTGGACTCAAGTGTAAATGTACAGGGTTCAGTTTTGTAATATTTTTCCAGCAAATTTTTATACAGTGTCATTTAATTTGGGAGAGGATACTGTCAAAAATTAATGCATACTTTTGTCACAATTTGCCTTTTGTGGGTGTGTTTTTTGTTTGGTTCCCTTTTTTGTTTTTTCTTTTTTATTGCTTCAATACCTCTGCCACTTTGAAAATCGTAACAGTTAATTACTTTGAACGTTGCTAAAAGAACATTTTGTGTAGGGTCAAGTTATTTTTATATGAGTTAATGTGAAGTTGTAAACGGGAATCTATAACGATGATGTCTGTATAAATCTGTGTCTATCTAGAACCCGTGCTGTGTAAGGGCATTCTTCCTCATGCTGTTGTACTTATGCACCATCCAGACTTGTTAGAGTAGATGTGGGTTTAGGACGGCCAGGCGTGCCCGGTACAGTAGTTTCTATCACTAAAAAGTTGGACTTGGAGTCCTATAGTAGTTTCAGTGTTAGATAAAGTTTTTCCACCATACATCTGTGCATTCATCTTTAGGTGACTGAATGTTTAAGAAATCTGTGTGCATAGTTACTAAGTTTTTATGAACTGTTGTGTCTTGTTAATGCATATTGCCCTGTGACTCCAGTATATCTCACTTGTACTGACCAAACCTAAATAAAAAAAATTTTATTATGACTCCTCTATTTGTTTTTTTGTTTTTTTCTTTTCTCTTGGGTGTGTATAGCAGTTGCTATTTATTTTCACTGAACTGCTAAATTCCCTCTACCCTGTAACATATACAAAGGTCAGATTAAAACAGTCCATGCATTATGTCTGACTGTGCACACCTAAGTTTTAGTTTGCACTTTTCTTTTGCAGAATGAAGTAGGAGTTTATGACTGCAGTTCATGGTTTTGCTTTTTTTCCCTTGACAGAAAAATCTCATTTTTAAAAACAAATAATTTTTATGTTTCAGTTGAAGAGCAGTTTATTCTTGATCTGATTTCAGGGAATCGGTGTATCTTTAGTCAGGGATGTTTGTTTTAAAGCAGTGACCAAGTAACGGTTTTTCCTAAACAGCATGCTTGCATAGATTATAAGGAAGTGTATGGTGTGAAGATGGGAAAAGTGTTGTGAAAGGTTGTTATAGTTTGTTTCACTGTTTGTTAAAACAGTTAGTAATACTAGGCCGGGCGGTGGTGGCGCACGCCTTTAATCCCAGCACTCAGGAGGCAGAGGCAGAGGCAGCGGCAGGTGGATCTTTGAGTTAAAGGCCAGTCTGATCTACAGAGTGAATTCTGGGACAGTCAGGACACAGATTAACCCTGTCTCAGTTAAAAAAAACAAGAACAGAAAAACCCTGCACTGTCGTAAGCTTTTGTGCAGTCCTAAGTGAATAAAGCCTATATGATTTTAAATAAATTTGTTTATAATTAGCCAGTTTGATGTATGTTAAAAGACTCCTTTGATTGGTAGGCAGTAGTGGCACACGCCTGTAATCCCAGCACTCAGAAGGCAGAGCCAGGTGGATCTCTTGAGTTTGAGGCCAGCCTGGTTTACAGAGCGAAATCCAGGATAGGCACCAAAACTACCAGAGAAACCCTGTCTTGAAAAAAAACAAAAAAAGACTCCCTTGATTTATGAATTACTATTGGGCTTTAGCTATATATATATATATATATATATATATCCTTTTACCCAATTTACACAAAAATATAACTTTTTCTATCCTATTGGTATCTAATAATCTGTGCAAAAGGAAATTGTTCAACAGCAGTGTAGCTGACTAAATTTAATATAGGCTTAATGTCA